CTGCAATTACGGTAACCATTTTAATAGGATTCTTGATCTGCTAGTCACATGAGTAACAAGTAAAAAACATTGATTAGCTTGTCAGAAAAATATTATGTGTTTGTGGCTTTGGGATATATGTTGAACCCAGGATTTGATTGGTATGGGGGGAAGAACATTTCTGGTGCCCGGAGAGTTCCCTATCGGATGCTTGGTAGTATATTTGACATTATATCAAACATCAAACATGGAAGAATACGATTCTTTTGGATGTTTGAAATGGCTAAACAAGTTTGGAGAATACCGCGACGAACAACTTCAGGCAGAACTCAATAGACTCAAGATACTCAACCCTCATGTAACCATCATGTATGCTGACTATTACAATGCTTTGTTGCGGCTTATCCAAGAACCAACCAAATACGGTTAGCCTTCTTGATACCTACACTAAAACTTCACAACCAGTTTACTAATAAGGTATTAACCGAGTTATTAAAATCAATGATATTGACAGGATTCATAGACAAACCCTTGTCCGCTTGTTGCGGTATAGGAAGACCATACAACTTCAACTTTAGTACACGTTGTGGGAGTGTAGGAACGAAATCTTGTAATGATCCTTCAAAGTATGTGTCATGGGATGGCATTCATATGACTGAGGCTGCATACAAATTAATGGCTGATGGATTACTCAAAGGACCATACGTGACTCCTCCTTTCAATTGGTCCTGCCTCAGCTCAAAGATTATGAACAAGAAGTCATTAGACACACAGTCTTCTTTGATGAACAGCTGATACAAGCTTGTAAACATTAAGAAACATGAGAGATAATTATGAAAATAAATATACATTATGTTCTCTTGTCCGTTGGGAAGAATTCTTCATCTTTGTAATACAAAAATATATATTGTCAAGGAGAAAAAATTTACTACCAAAAAAAAAAAAAATTAGTCAACAGATTAATTTGATGGTATAATAAATCTTGTCTACCTCATATTTTCTAAAAAAATGATAATTTTCCTTAATTTATACATTAAAATTCTGATAACAAAAGCACAATAATTTCATTTTTTTCTTACAAATATTAATCACAAATTACAACTTTGGTTTACAGATTTAGTCAATATATATTTTGGATAATGGTTGATTTGATTTAAATTTCAAATTTTATAATGTGCAATTAACAGTAATTTTAAAAAATTAGTCATGTCATTTGGTAAAACATTGATGCAAGTGAACTAGTTCATTAAGCTAGTTCATTAAGTGAAACTTGAAGTGTATAGTAATGAAGCTAGTTCATTAAGCTTGCAGCTTCGAGAGACATGCCAAGGAGTAAATAAGAAAGGTTCTTTCTAAAAGAGTAACATAATAAGTTTTGGCATCTTGAACACTTAGATACCAATAGAAAGAGCTGAAAGAGTTCCATCTTAAAATGCTAATCTAGTTCAACACTTTGAGAACCTAAACCAAACAGCAACAATATTAAAGAAACAGAGATCAAAGCATCAGAACTACGAAGCCAAACACTCTCAGGGTCTAAAAATGAACAGATGAGGACTCAGACAGAGACAATCATTTCAACTTTCTTTTAAGTTCAAGGAATAAGAGGACTCAGATACTAGCAGGAGTGACTATAGAACAGATGAGTTTAGGTTTCTAATCAAAAACTAGATCCTTGTATAGACAAATTATCTAGTACTACTATAGAAAAAGGCTCAAGAACAGAGAGCCCTGAGAAATATATCAGTCACACCTCAAAGGACACACAAGTGTGATTAGTGCCACTTGTGAAATTTCCACCCTTTTTCATCAAAAAGGTCCCTCTCGGAATCAATGGCTAAATAAATGAAATAACCAGTCTATGTATACAACTTAAGTTTGAGAAGGGATCAAGAAGACTTAGACATGAAATTTTATCGGTTTGTTTTGATTATAGAAAAATTGGATCTTAACACTTAACATGGAGCAATTGTTGTGTCCAAAAAGCTCTCTCGGTCAATTTGATCACGTTGGGCCTGACCTACCGTGAGGTCCAAACTACATGTGACAAAAAAGGTCTTTTTATCCCTATTTTTACATTTATATATTTATTTTTGTAATTTATTTTATATAAAATCAAAAAAAATTAAAACTAATTTCCCTTTTTCTCTATTTGAATTTTCAATTTTTTTTGGAGAAATACCCTATATAGCCCAAATTTGAGTTTTTTTCCAAAATTAGCACACATTCTCAAATGTTTCAAAATTAACACTACTAAAAGGAAAACGGGGAAAATCAACCCAAACTATTCTCCGAAGGTATTTTGATACCCAAACTCGCGTACTCTGAATTTTACAACTCAAATCAACTTTTAATTCAAATAACCAACCTGAACCATATCAAATTTTGTCGATTTCAACCTCGACGTTAACAATATCCCTGCCCATCTTGAAGATTTGGACAATCAAGCTTAATCTTATGTAAAAACCAAGTTCAGTTCTCTTGGTTTTTACAGAAGCTTAAG